TGAAAAGAGGCCGCCCCATCCTCCTCACTGCCTCCCTTGAGGTACTTCTAGACACTGCTCAGGTCCCCTCTCAGCCTTCTCTTCTCCAGCTGAACAGGCCCAGCTCCCTCAGCCTCTCCTCATAGGGCAGATGTTCCAGGCCCCTGATCATCCTTGTGGCCCTGCGCTGGACTCTCTCCAGCAGCTCCACATCCCTCTTGTCCCAGAACTGGACACAGTGCTCCAGATTCTCCCGCCTGAGTTGCTCGTGTCATGCTGCAGCCCTGGGGGAGATCAGAGCGGGCAAAGGGGAAAAAAAATGGGTTTGGGGGAAGGAACAGAGTGGAGGAAGCCAGGGTGAGGGATGCTGGGAACACGGAGAGCAGCACCAGCCTCATTATCTGTTGGGTCTAATGAACCAAGAGGGACTGTCGCCAAGGCCTGGCTCTTCCTGGCTTTCCCCTGGCTCAGGGATGAGCTGCTGCCTCCCTATTGAGGCCCAGGGAGGGATGGGGACCCGAGAGCCCCCCATGATGGCCCTCTGTCCATCCCCCGTGTCCCCTTTGCTGCTGGCTGGTTCCCAAACGGGGAAGTGGTTTGATTTTCCCACAGGGCACAAAGCCTCCCGCATCCTACTGTTCCCTGCAAAGCACTTGGCCCACGCGAGGCCCAGGGGCAGAGTTTCCATCCCCAAATCCCTCAGGAAAGCAGCACGAGTTCCTTCTTGGTGACGATATCCTTGGCACCCCTCCGCAGGGCACCTCGTGGCGCCGCCTCCTCCCAGCACTGCCAGCACAAGCCCCGCTCGGCCCCCCAGCATCAGCAAAGGAATTTTTGGAAATCTCAGATCTGACTCATCCCAACAGCAAGGACGAGGGGAGAGGTCAATCCTGAGGGACAACCTCGGCCTAACTCCACTCTTGCATCGGTGGCAAGATACGACGTGTCCCCATCAGTAAATTTTGGGGTCAGACTGGTGTTTGAGGAGCACCAGACCCAAATTTTATTAGCTCTTCCTGCCTGAGCATCCGTCTCCTGCTCTGTCCCAGGGAATTCCCCAAACCACCTTGATCCTCTAAACATCTATCCTTGGAAAACCTGGCAGCTTTCCCCTTATCAAATGGCTGCTGCAGAAAGCAGACTGGCTTAAGAGAAACGGGGAAAATTTCCTCCTTTGTGCCTTGAAAGGCAGAAATTAAGGGAAGACGAGTCGGGGAGTTGTTCTGCACAGGCAGCCCGTGGAGTGTCGCTGTCACTGGCCTCTGGGGCTTTTTTTTGTTCAGCTGTGACTGTTCAGCCACACAGGGACAGTGTCCCTCAACCCTCCCAGGGCCCCCTTTGAGCTGGCCAAGCTGCAATCCGAGCGGCTCCGCAAGAATAGCGCTTTGTTCCAGCCTGCCTTGGAAGGAAGGAGCGGGACGGACACTTCCACGGCATCTGGGAGAATCCAGGGTGCAATGACAGGGAATGGGGTGTCAGGAGGAGCCTGCACTTACAGTTGAGGCTGGGGGGAAACAGTCCTCAAAAAATGCCCGAGTCCCCTTTGCAGATTGACAAAAGGCAACAGACCTCCCTCTGATTTAGGTCTCAACTTGTGGAGACTCCAGCTAGCAGAAATCCTCACCTGCCCAAAGCAAAATAAGCAGAAACAAAAAGGAAGAAGTAAAACGAGCAGAACCACCTATTCCCCCTACAAACCGCACAGATAATGACAGGTATTTGTCTTTATTACAAGAAAATGCCTGATAACAGTGCAAATTTCTTCCAACAAACTCGTAGGTACAGAGCTCACAGTCACTTTCGGGAGGCTCAAGCAGCCATGAAGGAGAAATTTCCATTTTCCAGGGACGGCTCCGCAACGGATGGATAATCCTGCCTGGTCTCAGCTCATTTGTGCTAGCAGCTCTTCAAGTTCTGGTCGGGTCTTTAAGCGGATCTTGAAGTCGGCTTCTGTGTGCTGCAGGGAGAGGGGAAAAACACAAGTAAATCAGAAATGACCTCGAGTGCTTTGCTAAATCAAAGGAAAACCAACACCTTCCCACAGAAGAGGGGAAAAAACAGCAGATTTAAGTGTTTCCTGAACTCAGGGAAGCCTGGGGTTTGTTGGGAAGCAGGTTCCTAAGAGCATCCTAAAGCCTTAACCTCTCTTCCACGTTGCTGGTCCTAGGGAACCAGCCTGGGTCTCCCCTTTGGGCTTCCTGCATCAGACTGCAATGACTTTGCGGAGGGCACAGAGTCAGTTTTACCTCTAATGGACAAGAACCAGTAGCCAAAATTTAAAAAGAAATGGCAGCCCTAAGGGAGAAACACCAGACTGTGACCAAAGCAGGGAAGATTACTGGACTCAGGAGACTTTCTCCTGTATTCCCTCTGTTTTTGCAGAGCTACAGATAACTAAACGGTCTTCAAAGGCCACTGAGGAGCCAATGGTATTTTCATACTTGATTTTAATGCATCTTCCAGCTGCAAAATCTTTTAGTCCTTGAATAAACAGGGGATTTTTTTTGTCTAAATGTAAAACAACAAGGGTTTAAATATCGACCTGTCCCCAGTCCAGTCCTGGGCCAGGAGCAAAGCTCAGTCCTGGAGTCCTTAGAGCTCTGCAAACAGGTAAGGGGTTCTGCAGGAGGCAAACGTAACCCCTCAGAGCAAACTCCTAGAGAGCAGCATTTGGAGATTTGGGAGCCTGGGATTTGGAGATTGAGTCCTAGCTTTAGGAGCAAAGAAAGGCAGCATCCTAGAGATGTATGGAATTGGCTGGGAAGGTACCGTCGGTGGCCGTGCTTATTTCCATTTCCAAATGTAAAATAAAACAGCTTATCAATATTGGGATTTTTTTTTGCAGACTGAGGTCCAATTCTGGGAGACAAAGGATATCTGTAAATCAACAGCAGACACTGGCAGCCTTGGGAGAAGCTCTGTAGTTTCAAATCAAATCCATCACATACATAACAACTGCTTCCTTTCTATTTCTCCTATTTTTTTTCCCCCTGGCATTGAATTCAACGTACCTCTTTCATTAACAGATCCACCCCTTCGGGCTGGTTGCTCTGAATAACTTCCAAGAGAATCGGAGCAAACGTCGAACTCACACCGCGGATCTGAAAGCAGAAACAAAGTACTGCAGAGGTTTGGCATACAGCAAGTGAACACACTATCAAGAAGGGAAGAGGCACGGGGGAGAAACACCTATTCACCTCAATGGTTAATTAAGCACCTTTGAAATACTGAGGATATTTCTATTTTTGATCATGTTTGTGCAATCGCTCATCCTTAAATGCAGCTTTTCTACTCTTTGCATCTATTATTCTGCATAAAATAGGTAATAAAGTCCATGGCTGGAATGGAGGAGCCAGGAAGCCCATCTCTCTGTCTTCCACTTTGAGAGTAACAGAGTAACCTTTGGCAAGAAATTTGATTAGACTTTTCTGAGAGTCAATTCACACACGGTTATGCCTTATGTTTGATCAAGGGACTTATCTCCTACAGCTAATGGGTTTTGAAATAGTCAGTGCTGCACAAGAGCAGCAGAATTATCAGCAAACACCAGCCCATACCTGGACAACCCTCTGGTGGGTGGTAAGGACGGCGTCCAGCTGCATTTTGGAACCCCTCTCTTCCAAGAACAGCACCTCGTTGGTCTTGGTCGGCATCGCGTAGCTGCAGAAAACACAGGTCAGGTTTTCAGGACGGGGAGGGTTGACTTGAACACAAGGAAGGAATCAACTTGCAACAGCAGAAAATGTGGAAGAAGATTAAGTTTTCATGAGGAATTAATTATGCAAACAATGTATCTTGCAAATGAAGGGCTGGCAGAAGCCGGGTGTTTTACTGGAAGGAGATAAGGGGGAAGTTGGCAGCATTACTGCCAGCAAAGGCCTCTTGCAGCTCTGAGAACCTTGATTTCTTTATTGTTGAAGGAGGGCTGGGAAGCTAAAGCAATGACTTATTTTGTAATCAGCTATTTATCCTCATCAGCAGTTATAACCTTCCCCCTGGTCAGGAACATGCTGAGAAACGCTGCTGCAACACACCCCTTGGGAGACATTATTTTCCCCGGGTGAACTGAACGGGTTTAAGATCACACACGAGGTCTGGTCTCCTGTTATCCGTGTTAATGCACAGAGCTCACTCTCCACATCTGATTTTCGCAGCATCAAGAGCACACTAAATCCACCACCAAGCTTTTGCCCACTCAGGGTATTTGGGTTCAGCTAGAGATTTCCCGGGCAGTTTTGAGCAAACCGCACAAGCTTCATTTGCTTCCGTTCTTCCACCCGCAGAGAGGGACAAAAATACTCCCTTTTCTCTTATTTTATCTCATCCATTTTTCCCTCTTAGAGGGCAAACTGTGTCTTTCTGCCCAGGCTGAACTTCACACAGAAAGAGTAACCCCAGAGGGCACAAACATGACACATGTAAGGAAGTTTGACATTCACAAATGGTCTCAGGCTGCAGGATTTCTCTGTGAAAGCTTCAAGTTCAGCACGGTTGGTTGCTGTAACTTGTGAGCGTCACCGAGTACCCTTCCCAGAACGAGATCCATCAGGGTTGCTGATGTGTCCCAGCTTCTGGTGCTGTTTGGTGCAAAAGGCCTCACAGAGAGGCTCCTGATCTACAGGACTGCAGATCCAAGGCTGACAGTTCACTGAGGTGGATGAATGTACAGAAAGGGATTTTTTGGATAGGTTTCATAAGCATGAAGCAGGAATCAGTGTTCACACTCAGAGGTATAGCTAGAGACACACATCTGAGATCATTTGGATAGTTTCAGACCGTTATTTTACTTCACTAGAGCACTATTTCTCTCACTGATTGCAGCTCCTTCTCCACAATATCCTCAGGAAGAGCCTTGGTGAATGAACAGCAAGAAAAAGCAGTGGGAAAACTCTGCAACACTCACGGCTGCACCTTTAGGCTCAGCACCCACAGGCTTGTGCCCTTTTCTCAAAAAAAATGAACAGTAACAGCTATTCTTTCCCTTAAGATTTAGTCATTCGGTGCCTTAACAATCCTATTCCAGCCCTACATAAATAAGTTTCCAGAACGGACATCAAACACAGAGCCGGGTTCTTTGTACCTCTCATTGACCCGAATCGAGAGCCGGTTGCAGAGTCTGTGCACGTGTCTAGCAAAATGCTCCACGAGACACATGTCGTAGGAAGTCATCTGGATGTTGATGTCCCCGTACTCATGGTCAGTCCCCACGTTGATTGCCTTCATCTGCACTCGATCCCTTCTCTTCTTTGGAGCCTGGAATGCAAGCAAATAATTTTTTTAAAAAAGGCAGATCTGGTTTGGACACATCTTGAAATATAAAAAGGAAAGAAAAACAAAGAGCTCTTGCCCAACATGGAAGATTATTCAAGTGGGGAGGGTTCTCCCTTCTGAGAACAGGTTTGTTGAACTATGTTAAAAGAAAAATCATAGCCCACCTATGCTCACTTTCCCTTGTGGGGATGACATTATTTTAACAGATGTTCTGAAATGGAGCAGCTCAGTTCTTGGATGGTGACACCACTGAAGTCACACAGAAAATACATGTACACCGTGATTAATTTCTTCCGGAAGAAACCAACCAGCAGAAAACTGCTTTTATTTCAGTTCCTGCCTTCAAGGCAGCTGTCAAGGTGAGTTATTGTTTCCCCATGCCTCAAAGACTGTCTTCAGAGATTTCAGGGAATGTAACATGTTTAAAGGGAAGGAAGATGTGCTCACAATACTCAGCAATAACTTGAAGCTGGGTTGTTAAATTCAATGCAAGGAAGATTCTTCTCTCTCAAATTACTTAGAAGATTAAACAACATACAGCACACAAGGAGGTATCTATGTGCTGTCAGTGGGTATTTCATGAGAAAGAACCATCTCAGAGAAGAAAAGTAGCAATAAACTTGTCACTTTGCTTGAATTCCTCCTCAATATGCTTCATCAGCCACGGAATAGTTCCAACATGTTAAATAGCTCCAGCAGTTGAAAGGGAGCCAAAGTAGGGCAGCTCTTATACCTACCTCCTTTGGGAGCAGATATTTGAACCTCCCAATGCCATGTGTAGGACGGGATCTGTAGTGTCTGTGGCAACTCACTCGTGCATCATCTGAAAAGGAAAGCAGAGCAAACATGTTTCCATGGGGATATCCCTCGTTTTCCAAACAGCGATGGCTGGGAGCGCCTCAAAATCCATGCAGGGTCCTAACAGTTTGTCCTCAGCAGTTGCTCACAGAGGGCAAAGGCAAAGTCTCTGCCCCAGCAACAAATAAAGGAGGAAGAGATTAAAGAAATTAAATTCACCTCATTCCCCAGGTGAATTCTCAAGCAAACAAACAGAAAACAGACCTGTCAGTGCCAGTGGACAGTGAAGATACTAATAAAATGCTACATCTGCCTCCTTTTACGTGATGGTATCATGACGGATCTGAGCTCCACTTAATTTTAAATCCAGCCCTGTTCAAATATTCATGTGCTAGGAAACCAAATCAAAATGGTATCAGCTTGTATTTATACTTCCTTCTCCAGGGTGCAAGGAAACCCTGAATGGCCTTTGTTTTAATAAATGAAGCTCAGAACAGCAAAGAGAAAGTGAACTCCAAGGATCCGAGGCACTCGGTTGCACTTTGCCTCCACATCAAAATCAAATTCTATTTTAAACTGCTCCAGGGGACCCCACCAGTTCAATAAATGTTCAAGTGGGGCCTCACAGGGTGTAGGTCAGTTCCTGGGTAGCAATAAAGGGAATAGTGGCTGACAAAGTGCTCCACAGCACAAAATGCCATCGGAGCAGCTGCTTAGCTGAGGACAGACCAGCAGGAAACAGGAAAAAAGGCCAGAGCAGAGGTACTGGTAGGACGGCACTGGCCCGGGTTATTCAACCAGCCCAAACATGCCCTAAAAAAAAAAAAATTCAAAAGGTAACAGAGACACTTAAATGCAAAATATTCATTTTGGGTAAGCAACATTTCATTTTGCATTGAATTAAAAACACAAGAGGTCTTACCTGCAGCACACAGGAGGTTTTCTTGGGGAACTGCTGCTCTAGAGGGAAAAAAGTTGGTAGTTAAAACCTGCTGTTTCCCCCACGTATGGGAAGACCCCTATCTGACCAGTGTCCTTGAATGAGGACTCCCATCCCCAGACACCCTGGGACACAAATCCCACCCTGGGTTTGCGGCCAGCAAAACAGTTAACGCACCCAGGACGAGACCCTCTCCTTGAGCCACGATAAAGATTTCAGTGACATCAAATAAAAGGTGAAGAAACCGAACGGTCTTTGTGAAGGAACTAAAATTGACATTTTCCTCCACTTCTTCCCATCCCAAAACTTTAAAAGGAGCTATTTCTGCCTTCCTTCTTTGCCACCTAATCCCTGATTTTCCTTGGAAAAATTAATATTATTTTATCACGTATGTTTTGTGGCACAGCCCATAGAGTTGACTGAGGGGTTTTTAGCAGCCCTCACTGCATTTTAAGCATCAGGTTTGATGTGAAGGAACTCACCTGGGCAGTGCAGCCACCGGCTTCAGCCAGGTTGTCGTCTTCGCGCACAGAACCTGTCGGGGACCAACAAACAGCATTTTTAATTATTAATTAATATTAAATATTTGCGAAGTTTCTACCAGTGCTTCCCAGGACGCACCCCTTCAAACAGCTCCTGGGACCCTCTCGGGATCTCAAAACACCCTCCCCACAAGGAAGGGCATCTGTCCCCCTCGGTACCGGGCCTGGCCCTCTTTTCCCTCCTACCTCCGGTACCAGGTCTGGTCCATCTTCCTCTCCTCGGTACCGGGTTTGCCGGGGACGGGACGGGACGGGACGGGACCCACACCCGTATCCGGGGCTGGCTCCCCTTTCTTCCCCCCCCGTAACGGTAA